CCCTGTGCTTTCCCCTCCCCAGGCAGTCCCAGCCCACGGTGGTGCCATGCCATGTGCCTCAGTGACCTGGGGACAGCTGTTCTCATCGGTGGAGAAGGTGTCAATCAGCAGTCCTGCAAGGATGCACTCTGGAAGCTGGAAATTGGTGGGGACTTTAGGACTATCAAAGGCAATGGGGGCAGTGGGACTTAAGGACAACTCATGCAGATGGGAGGGGGTACCCAGGGGTCTGTGCATAGGGAGGGGACAGCAAAGCTGTCACATCTTCTAGCACGGTCACCAGGCTGAGCTGACAGTGTAGGGTGCCATGAGAGGCTGTGGGGTTGTATGTGGGAGCCCTCTAGGAGCTAAGGTGTAAGTTCTGGAAAGAGTTGAGCGAGTTTTAATGGGTAAAAGCAAAACCGTGGTTTGCAGTCTGTGTGTGATGACTGGTAGAGAAGTGTGAGATCCAATTCCAGTGCCTTGCAGCTTTCTGCACCTCACCAATCCTCTCTTCCACCTTCCCTGCCTAGTTAGTGTTCCCCTTCATTCCTTAAACAAAACGTTTCTGTATGAGTCCCCTCTGCCCTGAATGAGAGGAGGAGATGAAGGGAGCAAGGTCTTGAGTAAAGATTTTACGACATATTCTTTAAATCTGGGGAAATCAAGAGCACTTTTGAACTCCCACACCATCTGTCTGGTGTTGTTCCTACAGACAGTGATTTCTGGCTTCCAGTGGGTTTCCAGCTACAAAACACCATGCCATTGTGCTTGCATGGTCACACAGCTACCTATGACCCAGACACTAAGCGTATCTACATCTTTGGGGGCATAAGAGAGGACAAAGACTACAGTGACATCTATATTCTGGACACAGTCACCTGGAAATGGCTCCCTGTGGCTGTAAGTACTGCAGCTCTTCCAAGACAAAAGCACAGGAGAGGTGGCAGGTCCTGCCTGAATGTGGCAATCAATGTGCCCATATGCTTACTCCAGTAGTCTTGGACCACTGTTGCTGCAGGTTGTCCAAGGTGCTTCGTTGGGATTGACAGATGTAAGAAGGCTATGTTTGAAGGCCCCAAGCTTGGCAGAAACCAGGGGCTGTGCCTACAAAGAATGAATCAAGGTGGAAAAAATGGTTTCTGCAGAGTGCTGTGTCTGACCAAGGTCATGGGTGGGAGGTACTGTACAAGTGGCAGAGGGAAATGGCCTCTCATTTTACATGATGCTGTTCAGAGCTTCACTGGATGCTCAGGTGAAGAGCTGTTCTTAAATCAAGAACTGCTCTGAGCACAGCAGATCTCCAAGCTCTTTAGTTACTTGTCGTATCCTTGCAGAGGTCCCTGTCAGCAAGGGACTATCTGTCTTTTTCCTGGTTAAGTCACAAGATGGCTTTTATGGAATAAGCCTGGATGAGATGTCTCTGTTTCTGTGCTCTGTTGTCTTCTGAGGAAGCTGGGGTAGGAGGTTGACTTCGTTCTCTCATCAGAGTATTCTGGTGGTGCAGAGTACGCAAAAGATGTACTGCCTGCCTGTGTGGCAAAGATCTGGCTGGGGAGCCAATAAAGTGTAAATTGACACTTGTCAAACTTGCTGTATGATGTGGGCCCCTTTCCTATGGGTTACACAGCAAATAATGCACTACTTGTAACAAATGTATGTTGAACTTTTTCCAGGCCAAAGGGAGGATACCAGTGCTCACCTACCACAGTGCAACTATCTACCGCAAGGAACTCTTTGTTTTTGGAGGGACTTTCCCCAAAAAGGCATCACTGGCAGTTGGACCCTGCAGCAATGTGCTTTATGTCTTCAATCCAGAACATGAAATTTGGTATCAGCCCATCTCAGAAGGGGAGAAGCCTCTGCCTAGGCTTGGGTGAGAGTGCTCTTATTCCAGCCCTCCGAAATAGAGCAGGAAACCTCTGCTTACCTTCCCTCCCAGCCCAGTGTAATTTCCTAAATATTAGATGATTGTTCTCCACCATTTGCTCCTTAAGATAGGGCTATGTTTTGAGCAGTGTGACTCCCAGTACCTCCTGTCATGAGTCCTGATGGAATTCTGTCCTTGGGCTGCAGTCGCTGGGGGTAGAGGCAGGTGTAGACTTGAGGCTATGGTAGCCCAATTGCAGAAGCCAAGGCTGAAACATCAATTTTGGGAGCTTGCTGAAGATACTTTGTTCACTTGCTTCTTCTCTGTGCAGGCATTCAGCTACTCTACTGAAGAACAAGCTGCTGATTTTTGGTGGTCGGAGGAGTTCTCTCTACTACAGTGACATGCACATCCTGGATCTGGGTAAGAAAGTCTGTGCCAGCTAGATGCCTTGGGAAGGTCCGTTCAAAGGCAGGCACTGGGGAATGGGGCATGCTTGATGGGAAGGTAGCATTAACGTTATAAAAACTCCTGACTAGTCAATGGAGATGGAAAATTACGGGGTAAAAAAAAAAAGCCTTTCTGGTGTAAGAGGAAAGGGAATGGGGAAAAACAAGAGACTGCTTTTTTGCAAGAAGCTGGGTAACAGAGAATGCAATGTTGCTGATGTGGCAGAGTATGCAAGTTTTTGTCTGGTTATGAGGCTGAGCTTTTTGGACACTTCACCTGCCTTTCCCCTGGCTCTCAGGTTTCATGGAGTACACACCAGTCCCCCTCCTCGCAGGACAGCCTTCTGCACGTTGGTAAGATCCTATTGCAGACCCAGGAGCTATCTTCTTCCTTTGTCCTTTCTCTTTGAAGCCAGGTTTAAATGATGCTTATGGTCAGACCCAGTTGCATATCTCTGTCCCACTAGCCAAAATGCAGTGGATGCCCCCTCTGCTATGGGACCATAAATTCCTGTGCTGTCCTAGTTGGTGCCTGTAGGGAGGGGGACGATGGGTGCAGACCCCTTAGTCTCCCTGGAAATCTGCCTTTCAAGCTAGGGGAAGTTTTCTGCCATGTGCTAGTGAACTGTATTGCCTGCTGTTTGCTCTCCACAGTACCTGGAGTGCAACAGACACACAGAGAGGAAGGAACTCTTGTACCAGGACTATGCTGGTCCTAAAGAGACACTGTTGCCCACTAGAACAATGATATAAATCAGACCAAAGCCTAGCTAGCCTGCTATCTCACTCCACGGAGCAAAACGTAGGAGTTTTGATAGCTCCTTCTGAAATAATGAGGTGCTTTTCAGGCCTGATTATGGCCTGACTTGCAGAGGCAAACAAACAGCTCTTTCAGGGTTATTCAGCAAGTCAGGGCGGAAGAGAAGCAGAAGTTAACTTCCATTCTGCAGCTTAAGCCCCCAGCCTCCTGCTGAAGTCTGCCCACCTCTGCGTATTGCTGACTGATGCAACCCCAGCTGCTTTTGCTATAGTCACCTTTCGGCTTTTCTTTGGTCGCAGTTTTCATGCAGCTCTGGCTGTGTCGGACCAGAAGGTTCTGATCAGCGGAGGCTGCAATGCCAAGGGAGCCCTGCAGGATGCTTTTGTCTTCCACCTAGGTGAGTGACTCTCTCTCCCAGTTTCCATAGCTGAAGATGACTATTGGGCTGCAGTGGCGTTTCCCTTGCACTAGGAATGGGTTTATCAGTACTGATAGCTGCTTTCGACTTCAGATACTCTTTCATGGAGCACGGTGATCCACCATGATCTTTGCGCTGTGCCCCGAGCTGGCCACACACTGCTTGACCTGACTCCTGCCCACCTGATGGATGAGGACAAGGAGAACAAAGAGGAGCATAACCTGCACACGGTGTTGGTCTTTGGGGGATCCAACTGTGCTGGGACCTTTTACAACAGCACAGTCAAGATCCAGCTGGACCTAGGATAATGCACAATACTCAGAATGAGCCTGGAACAGCAGGGGCTCTTCGTCAGCCTGAATACAGACATGCCTGGCAATAAATGAGTCCCAGCAATGTGGCAGTCTAAGTATCTATATATGCCAAGGTAGCATTCACCTACAAGAGATCACGGGCTTGTAAAGCCTTTCTGAAGGCCATGGGTATTGCCCTCTTAGGGCAGCTGACATTTAGGATCAGACTGGTGGAAATTCCCTCCCATATCCCTGGCTTGGTATCCAGGCTTGGGTGCCAAAAACTTTACTGGGATCTGAGCTGAGCCTGCACAGGAACACAATCACAGGCTTCTGGGTTTCCCTTCTTGCCCTACAGGTTTCTGGGCTGGAATTCCTGGGGTGCTTTCAGCTCCAAAGGTGACTTGGGTGTTGGGTTTCATTTGGGATGAGTGGAATGGAATTTATTCCTGACGCTTGGAAGGTCCTCACAGTGTGAGGCATACAGGTGTGGTTCTGGTTTGGAGGGAGTCTGGGGTGGGATTCCCTTGGGAAACAGTCTGCATATGAGGACTAGGAAAACACCTAGAGTGGTGTCTGAGGATGGGAAAAGGAAGAGAACACCATTGTTTTCAGCATATGGGAGTGAGCTGGTTGTGTCTTGCTGACTATGGCACAACCACAAGCTCTAGACAGACCTTTATTATAAATTCTGCTAGATTGTTGCTAGACATAAAATTAGCTGTCCTAGGTAGTAATTCTCTTGTCATTGCAAGGGGTGGCAGAGTTGCTGACTGTTGGCTCTTGCAAGACCCATTGGGGCCCAACAAGGGTTGGGATTAAGCTGTCTTCTGTCAGAGACTACCTCTTACAGTTTATATCCGTGGCACTGATGATTATGTCATAGCTCTGAGGCAGATGCAAGGACACGCAGGCCTCCTAGGTTAGTAGCACACTGCGTACACTGGTTCCCTGATACTCTTTCTGTAGCTGGTAGAAAGAAGCCACCCCTGTGGGGAGTCCAGAAGTGGCTCAATGCCTCACAGTTGTTTGTGGCCACATTCCCTGACCCAAAGCCATAAAAATGGGACTTCTGATACTTATGGATGCTTCTGCTTTAATCTGCTTCATGGAGATACATCAGATAGAAAAGAACATAGTCAGAAGTAGCTGGAAGCTTTCCAACACAGACATAGCTCCTCTAAGTCATCCATGCTACCAGGTCCTCTGTCCTTCTTCCCATCCAGATTAAAGTGAGAAAATAGCACTAGGGCTTCCTGCTGGCACTGAAGTCCTACTCAAGCTGCAGCTGTTGTCCTCTCTGTCCTCCAACTTACTTGATTTAATGAGTAGATGGACCTCAAGCTCGCAGCTCTGCAGGAGTATCTGGCTGCCGGGATGGGTGGCTTACTCTGAATGCCTCTAACTCCAGGAGAGCTTTGTTTATTCTGGTTATTATGGGATATGGACCCATGTCCACTTTGAATCTGTATAAGGAAAAGAACTTGTGAGTACTCTAGTCAGACAGCCAGTGCAGCAGTGAGCAAAAGAGTAGAGCCATGTGCTGTGCTTGCCCAGTCTGGAAGAATCTCACAGGCTGGGGTACTTTTGCATTAAGAGAAAAGGTTCATCCTTGTAGGTTTAAAAAACAAATGCTAAAGGAAAAGTTAGTTAGCTCTTCTGTCCTCACTAGGCTTTTACATAGTGTGCAGCACAGGGTAAGAAGGCACTATGCTTTTCCTGGGAATCATGCAGCCACTACTTCCATAGGTTGAAGGCTTTCAACAAATATAGTCAGATTAATCTTTTCCCCCTGTTTGCAGTGTAAATACAGGGCAAACGGGGAGAGAGGATGTGGAGTGTGGGCAACTGTAGCTTTTCTAAGGACATAGATCAGGTTTTGTTTGGGGGCCTCTGAGAAGAGAGCCCAGCTCCTTATTTCCAAGAACTTCCAAAAGAGAGAGTATATATGACATAGGAAAATCCATGCAGAGAAAAATCCATAACTGAATAGGGCAGCCAGGGGGGATGCTTTCTTAACAGGCACAAGGACCAGCAGAAGGTAAAGTCTGACAGCCCAGCACAAGGAGTAGATGCCCTTGAAGAGCACCTTGAGTTTAGCCTTAATTACCTTTCAGCATTGAAAACTTGAGGCACCAAGCAGAGATCAGCCATGGAAACCTGCAAATGTAGCAAAGAAAAAGGGGTCAGAATAACTCAGAGCTTCACTGTGGTGGCAGACTTTGACAGCAGGGTAGAAATTATTTTACCAGCCAGTACAGAGGAGTTGTCACAACAATCCTGTTCTTTAATCCAGCATAAATAATACAACAGCAGTACAAAGAAAGGAACTTCATAGGAGTCACTAGTAGAAACAGCCATCAGCCTTTAGGGAGCTTCATATTTACCAGCGGATCATCGTGACCTCCAGGACACAGTGCTTCTATGGCAACTGCCTCTGAGCAAACAAGTCTGCTGGCAAGCTGCAGAGGAAGGCGATGGAGGGAGGGGGGAGTTTGCATGGCTGGGAAAAGATGAGTAAATTTTGCTTGTTTGCATTGCAGGAGTATCAAGCAGCTCCTGCCAATGTCAAGACCTGATATGCGATAGGGCCTTTGCACACAGGCTCAGGGACTTGCAATCTGAAAAGAAGACTCAAGGACAATGCAGCTAGCTGCCTCTCCCCACAAAGCTCTGTGTGCCTTTTAGAACACATGTTATTCTCCAGCATAAGATCTTGTAACTAGCCTTTGCCCACCGATAGCTCCAGTTCCATAAGGCTCCTCCTACTAAACAATCCTCTGCATCACAGGATATTGCAGGAGCCTTCCTTTTTGCCAGGCTTTTATAGAGAAGATCTAATTGCCCGCCAAACAGGACTACTAAATGAAAGAGGCCTCTAGCTTAGTAAGGGTCAGAAGAGCTTGTGTATGAGCTCTCTGAAATGTGTCCACATTAACACTGGACAAACAGAGCAGAAAAATACAATGCAACCTGGTTAACAGTTCCACAGAGCAGAGCTAAGAACTGAACCTGTGTTTCTTGAGTTAAGCTTTGCCCCTATGACAGGACACTTTGAACTCCAAATCTCTTAAAGATGAAATATATATTATCTGTTTCCACATCCTCTAGTAGCAGCCAGATCCTAGATATAGCTGCAGAATCTGGCCATCAGCAAGTTATAGGTAGGGACAATTAAACATCTCCATAACTATTTGCAAGTCAGTAATGGCCTAGGTAGGATCCATGCAGCTTTTTTTCTTATGGTGAAGGCGCCACATGTAACTCCTGGCACAGGATGGGGTTGTGCTGTGTCTCAACAACTAACTTCCTTTCCTATTTTATGGAATCTACTGGGGTTTTCAGTTTTCTGATGGTGCACAACACTATTTCAGATACTTACTTCATCCCCCACGCAGTATTGCCCAGCAGTGTGCTGCAGAATCTGCTCCAGCGCTGCCAAGAGAAGTGGTACACTGGAGTGAGGCATTGGAAACTCATTTGAAAGGGACATCAAAGACCTTTTAGACTGGGAATTACGAACAAGGTCATTTTGACCCTGAGCTAAGTATGAAAAAGGAGCAATTTGGAACAGAACCTAGAAGGAACAGAAATCTTACAACAGCATAGTTATGGGAGTCTTTAGTGTCCTTCAGCTTTTTGGGACCCAGGGTGATTTCAGCTGCTTCAGGCAACGCACCTGAAATTCTAAGAGGACAATGTAGGGATATGTGAGTGAGGAGGGGAAAAATGCAAAGGTTTGATCAGTTTGTATCTGTCCAGAAGTGAAGATGGGCCTGCCATTCCAGCACACAGGGGAAAGGCTTCTGAGGAAACAAAAAGCACCCTGTTTTTCCCAGGGAAGTAAAGAAATACTCTGCTACTTGCTAGATCCTGTGGGAGTTTGCCATCTATCTTTATCTGCCAGATAGATATCTGCCAGATATCTTTTGTCTGGTTACAAAAGCATATAAATTTAGATTGATGGAACTTTAAAGCAAAAGGCACTAGTTTGGGAGCAGCTGGGTGGAAAGCAGAAGTGCTGTCAGCCCTCATGCTTCAGGGTGAATCAACTGCTGCGGTGTACAGGATGGCCCCAGGCTTCCCTTCTTCCACGTGCAGCAGTGGAAGTGCCCTGTGGACAGAATCTTTCCTCAAGACCCTGGAGACTGACCAGTCCTGGACAAGGGACTCTGGGCAGGAAGAGCACTGTCCCTGCCTGCTGGGCAGGACCCCAGCATGCCAGCCTAGGGAGATCTGTTGCTGTGCTTGAAGAGGAAAGTAGGACCCCAGTGGTACAGCACTTTGAAAGGTTAGTTGACGTGCTGATCATTTTGGATGTGGGACATACCTTGAAAGCCAGATGCAATGCAGTTCTGAGCCCATTCCGTTTTTTTCTCCCCCATTTGTTTCAGGACACTCAGGTTCTGTGAAGGCACGCAATTTCCAGGTTAGATTGACCGCTGCTGGCTGGATCTTGCCCACTGCCTCATCCAGTGGAGGAGAGGGGAGATGAGGAGTTGCCAAGTCTAAACCCTCAGCCCGAATTCAGCCAGCTGGGTCAGCCCTGACCTTACCCTCTCAGAATCACACACCCTGCTGTATCTCTCTCAGGACTATTCCTCTGTAACAGCTTCCAGGGTATCACTTTGCCCTTGCCCTCTGGGTTCCTAAAACATCCTAGACCCAGCAGTGAAACCATATGGGTTCAGCTGTTTCTGGAAAGAACCTTGGGGTGCTATAGAATTTTCTTTGTAGGAAATATTGTATTGTTGTCACTGGCAGATGAGGTAGAGGCTAAGCAGAGATTTCATCTGCTAACACAGAGTCGTAAGGTTTGCCACTCTCTTGGCTGGCAGCAGTTTAAAGAGACCGAGCTTTTCAGAGATACAGACTCCTGGAAACCCATCCTGGTTTTCTCATTTGCATGGATATGATGAGGCAATACCTGGAGGGGCTGAATGCCGGAGACAATGTGATCGGCGATCATTCTGACTTGAGCTCTTTTCTTTGGATCTTGGGGCAAGATCCTGGGGTTAGGACGGGTGTCTTCTAGGTAATGAATTATAGCTAGCTGTAATGAACAAAGAAGTAGGGGGAGGTTATTGGAGCGCCAAGGAAAAGTTCACATCCTGAACACCTGGGAAAGGGGACCTGATCCAAGAGCTCTTGAATGAAGTTTGTTACCAATCCAAGCAACAGAATATCCTCTTTGATGTGTGTTTGGGACATTGTTGTCATTTAGCCCAGCTGTAATTTCAGGCAAACCCTAGCACAGCCTCAAGTCAGACTACAAACTGCTTAGTGAAAGGTGGAGTTACAACCCAAAGCTGAATTGAGCTTAAATCCTTGACAGTGGCTTCCCAGCAGAGACTATGGGCTATTTCTGCCCCCAAGGGGGATTGTTTATCACAAATGCCATCTCTTTTCCCATGCACAGATGAGATATCTGGGGGAAAAGATGAGGCAAAGCCATCCCATCCAGACTGGGCAGCAGGCCGGAGTGAATGCTTAACAGGGATGTTAAACTGTTAACTCACCGACTGAGAAAGGGTGATGCCATCAATTTTCAAGGCTGGGACTTGCTGCATTGGATTCATTGCCTTGAATTCAGCAGAGAACTGTGGAAACAAATCTGAGATTACTGCAACAATAAATACTTCTTCCTTGTTTTCTTCCCCCAGAAGCTAGTTACCAAATTTTTTTTTTTTTTTTTAAACTTGGCTCTTCCCTCTACCTCAGTACTAATATTTGCATTAAGTTATGCTGTACTATTAGCCTACAGCAAGCTGTCACTGGGGCTCAGGAATCACTGCATCCAGGGCCAGACTGCCTTACCTCTTGATGAACCGTCAATACAAAGCCCAGGATGGGTGGTACTGCAGCAGTGTCGCTATTGCTGTTCTAGTTCTCCAACTCTATCTTAGCCCATACTGGCACATTGAGCCTGTGGTACCACGAGGTGCACAATTCCCTCCTATAGCTCCCTGAATAAGTTTTCAGTGAAGATCTCTTCTGGCAACCCACCCCTTCCTTTGGTAGGCACTTTGCAGACCCTTGCTATACCATTTAGCATCTTTTGGACACACATCCCCTGCCACACGCACTTTCTGGTGCTAATTGAATGAGGTCAAGTTTGTGTTTAAATTGCAGTGCAGCTTTTCTGAAGTCTGTGTGCCAGATATGTTCAGTTATATCATGCTAAGCAGGAGCAAAAGATCTTCAGCCTTATGAAATTCAGTCACAGATGTTTAAGAGAAGAGAAAACCTTTAGTCTCCTGCGGTCATCTTCCCCCTCTCTTGCATGCCAGGGAATACTGGCTGCAAGCAGCTATTAATTACAAAGGAGTGGTGAGGAATTCAGTGACTTTGTCTGTCAACTTTGTAGTGCTAATCCCAGTTCTCCTAATGATCCCCAAGTTCATTACCCCTGGAGAGAGCAATGATAGCTGTATCCTTACCTGCTGCCCCCCATCCTTCAGGAGGTTCACTGGCACCACGTCGTAGGAAATCCCTTTCAGCGCCAGTGCTAGGGAGAGCAGAGTGAACAGCTTCAGACAGGAACACTGAGACCAGTTTCATTGGTAATGGGCTCAGGGAAATGTTACCATCTCCATTTGAAAAAAAGAATGGCTTTAAAACCAAAAAAGACCCTATCCCCTCAAGACCCTATCCCTCAAGAAAGGCAGCCAGAGTCCACCAAGAAAATAGTGCTCTGGCAAATGAAGGACCAAAGCACTAAAGATCTGTCCTGGCAAAAACACTGCATTATTCAAAATAAGCTTTGCCACTCTTTGCAGCACTGACTGACAGGGCTTATAGAGGACAGGGGGACCCGGGCTCACCTGCAAATCCTTGCTTAAGACTGTCTCAGTCCAAGTAGGGACCATTCCCAGCCCTGCTTCACTCTCAAGACCTGGGCAGACCAGAGTCTGAGGCAGTATCAGTGTGAAAACAGAGTGTAGGGCTCTTCTAGATAATGTGGAAGAAAAAGCCACCTGCATGGTGTTAGTTTTACGAAAGGAGTATTTCCCTCTAACTAGCTGTAGGCTGAATGAAGCTCTCCTGTCTGTTTCTCTTCCTTTCACTTGCTCCGGGTAGGCTGTGGTATTCCCTTCCTTCCCACTCCAGAGAAGGAGAGGGAAATGCCTCACTGTTCCAGGATCATGTTTGCGGAGCTCTCTCTTAATAAGTGACTAATTAATTGGGTTAGTGAAGGGGAGGATACCGCAAAAACACCAAGACAATAAAACAGAGATCAACACTGGATCTTACCGATTCTCACTCTCCAGGAGCAGGAACTTCGAAAATAGCTATAAAGTATTGGCTGAGAAGAGAAAGAGAGATAAAGTGGTTATATGGTGGGAACACCACAGCACTGTAAGGAGAACAATGCACGAACAGAAGGCATTTCAGGAACTGTAAGACAAGGCAGAGCAAGGTTTGAGGGACAGAGGGCTCCTTTCTGAAAGTGACTGTTGCCGTTTTGGGCGTACAGGTAGTGTCAGTCTTTCATGCTGCCCTCTGAATATTTAGTTGCAGCTGATGTTTCCAGCAATGCACAAGTGACCTTAAAATTATCCCCTACAAAGCTTCTCTCTTTGTCCCTATTGGATGTTGCTAACTTTTATCCCATCTTGGATTTTTTAAGCAAATTCCCCACTCATTATGTCAAGCACCTGCACCGGCTATTTGTGTGGCATGAAACGGCTTTTCCAGCCCTGCAGGGCTGTGCCAGGTCTCTTTCGAAAAGAGAAGAGCTACTGCTGTTCCAGGTGAATGCCCG